ACGTGAGATGGAGTGGGCAATGGGTGTGATTGCATTATGAGTTCACAATTACTAACGAAAAGAGATTCCTTCACGCGCAACTTACATCGAAAAGAGAAGGCACGGTCGAGCATAAAGGTGGTGCTTTTATCTTGATACATATCTAAGGGTCTAAGGCCACACTGGAGGTTCAGCTTTGTTGGAAAGTTTGAAAAAGGGATACGAGGTATATATATCCATTGCTGCTCGATCGAATACTAAAAGCACACCATGATCGAGGAATTAATTAACAAAGTTGTGGATCACGTTGCTCGTCGGTCTAGTTTAATTTTTTTTTCAAATGCAATGAGTTGTGGTCATCATCAGGCATAACATTGCTCGGTTAGTTTAGGACCTCATGTATATGCTTTGGCACATAAGCACATGGTTGTTGGTAGTGCTCAATGGCGGAGCCACCTCAGCAAGCTCACCTCCACCGCGGCCTCCTCGAAGGTGCCATATTCACACGGCCGCACCCCCAATCCTCCACGCCCTACAGACCGGACCTCCTCTCACGCACCCCACATGACGGAAGCAAGCAAGGGGCGGCAACATCACCGGAGGAACCGTGCCCTGCTCACCTACCATCTCCCTCCGGCTACACCCAAATCCAGATCGGTGTCAGCTTTCATCATCACGGGCCATCCAGCGACTCCCTCTTGGCCCACTCCCATGCCAATGCCAGTGCCGTGCAAAAAATAGTGAAGGCGAACTAGCTACTTTTTTGTCGTTGCGGTTCTTCTAATCCGACAAGTTGCGACGAACAACACCTATGCCGATTTCAATCACGAACTCGTACTTTTTTTTTAACAAGAACAACCAGCTCCTGGTGCTTAGGGTTGGTGGAATTGACAATTTATGTTGCGAGTCGCATATGTTTTCATACATGTTTCACTTTTAGTTTGACACCGGCCGCCCCTTGGTTGCTTGTCACACTCCCCGCTGTAGTGCTAGCTCCCACTCATGACGAACACCTACGACTAAGGGCCCGTTCGGAAGCTCTCTCGCTTCCGCCAGTGGCCAGCTTCTCGGTCTTCTCGGTCAGCCAGCTTCTCACGGGAGAGAAATGAGTGTTCGGCAGCAGCGGCAACTCTCTTTTCCATCAACGTGGACCAGAGAGGAGGGGACCCCACCCTGCGAGGGCACTGGTTCGCTGGCTCTCTACATGCGGCGGCAAAACGAATCGTTTTCTTGACTTGGCGGTGGCATTCCTAGTAATTAAGCTGAACTTCTCCTCCGCTGGAAGCTGGGCTTGGGCAGCTTCTCAAATTTGCATTGGAGGCCGCCTCCGCTTCTTGAAGCTGGCTCCGCGGAGCCGAAGCGTTCGGCCAGCTTCCGAAGAAGCGGGAAGCGAGAGAGCTTCCGAACGGGCCCTAAGTCATGTACTCCTTTCATCTCATAATGCTGGCACATTCTGTTCTGTTTTACAAAAGTTTTGATTAAAACTACTCAATTTGTGTAATTTATTTAAACAACATCTTAATTGTGTGGTAAATTTTACCAACAACTACCATACAACTAGTACTCCCTCCGTCACAGGGCGCGCTGGAATTCTCATGCATTTCCACAAACAGATAGATTTTAGGCGCGTCTGATTTAATGATCACTTAATTAGGTCATGATGCCCTTACAACTTAGTACTTCCTCTGTAAACTTTTATAAAAGCGTTTAGATCACTACTTTAGTTATTTTTAGGCTTGACTGCCTGGAGTAAACCGACAAGTGCGCCAACGATGGTCAGCACGGTGACGATAGTCTTCATGTTCTTGTAGCCAAACCTGTACACCATGGTGCGCACCGGCCTATGGACCCTGTCAGGGCCGGCCCTGGGCCATGGCAACGAGTGCGACGGCCTAGGGCCCAGCCTCAGCAGGGGCCCATGTATCTCAAGAAAAATAGACTACTAGTACACAAGAGAAGCAGGCCTGACCCATAAAGAAGGAAACAAGTCACGCACGAACAGCAAATCTTTATCCTCAACTCAAAAAAAAGAAGCAAATCTTTATCCTTCGCTGGCTCCTTGAATCACACCCTCGTTCATCTCCCATTCTCCATCTTCTTTCCCAATTAATTGCCCCAAGTTCCTAAGAGGCCGGGCCCCAATTCCCAAAGCTAATCAATGAATTTCTTTGGTTCCTCGCGTCCTATAAACAGCCCCAAGAAACCCGGCGGACGGAGGCCAGCCGGCGACACACTCTAGTCCTAGGCCCCTGGGAAGAACGCGAGAGCAGTTTGGCCGTCCTTCCTCAGTTAGCTGTGGTCAGTGTGTGAGGGCAAGCAATGCAGACGTGAAGTCCAGGCACTGTTGAAGCGAAGCAACAAAGCCATTGCTGATTCAGGTAATTTTTAGATCATAATTCCTTGATCTTTGTCTACTTATTTCTGTTATGATCAGTTGAGATAATAATCAAAATTCATGAGATGAACCATTGCTGATGTTTAACCTACTCAATTCCTCTTTTTTGTACAAATTGCAGTCATGTAAACTCTGCTGGTTGTGTCGTTGCATGAATTTTGATTATTGGATAGATGGAGCATAGAATTTCTTCTAATTTACGCCAAAACCAAGATTTAAGAATCAGGTGCTCTCTCCTTTTTTTTTGTAAGAATGTTTCAAAAATGCAATTATCATCTGGTTGTGAGAAAAGTAAAAGTAGCTAACATGTAAATCAATTAACTGAATCTGAAAACGGTGCTACGTCCTTTACTGAAAGAAAAATTGAGTCCATTATAAGGGCCCATTATATGAAGCTCGCACAAGGGACTCTAAGATGCTAGGGCCGGCCCTGGACCCTGTAGTTCTCGATGGCCAGCATGGTGCGGACGTAGCATCTCCCGGGCCGCAGGTGCTTCTCCAGGCTGATGAAGAGGCGGAGAGCGTCCTCGTTGGTCAGCCCCGCTCCCCCCTGCAAGATGTGATTCGTGCGCAGCTCCTGCACGTCCTCCACGCGGTCCGTCACCATGCCCAGCAGGCAGAGGTACGAGCACACGGTGGACCGCTCCTCGTCGGCCTCGTAGAAGTCCGGAGTCGTGCACAGCTCCAGCGCCGCCATGTTGACGAGGAACCCCGCGTTCGCGTCGTCCAGGGACAGCGGCGCCAGGAAGAGCTCGCCGGAGAGCAACCCCTTCTTGACGCCCATCTCCTTCAGCTCCGCCCCCGTCTTGGTGGCCGTCAGCTGGATGCCCATCTCCGCGAGCTCCACGGCGCTCACGGAGATGGACACCTTCTCGGCCTTCTCGGATAGGCCGCGGGAGGAGGAGTCGGACGAGAGCTTGGTGCCGGTTCCGACGATGTAGTGCCGCAGGAGGCCGAGGAGGTGCGGCGGCGTGTAGCTGCTGTCCCACGCGGGAGGTTTCTCGCCGAGGGCCTGCCGGGCCTGCAGGGAGCCTTTCACGCGTCCGACGAGCTTCGGCAGGTCCAGGCCGGGCGCGGGCACGAAGCTCATGAGCGTCTCGACCACCACCCACGGGAGCTGGTTCTCGAGCAGCACGACGTCGGAGAAGATGCGGTCGGAGTCGGAGCTGAAGGCGCTCCTCAGCGCCGGGTCTACTGCCATCCCCTCCTCGTCGTCGTCGTCGTCGCCGTCCGTGCACGCGAACAGCAGGTACTGCAGCAGGAAGCAGCCGTCGAAGAACATCATGGGCTTGAAGTCGTCGTCAGCGAGACCCCGCACCCTGCCCTCGTCGTAGCAGCCGCGGGCCTCGTCGGCGACGGCGCAGACCGCGGCGTACACCTCCTCGACGGAGCGGCCCGAGGCCCTGACGAAGTGCCAGGAGGCCACGTGCTTGGTGCTCTCCATCTGCAGGACGGCGGGGCTCAGGCCGTGGTGGTAGGGGCCGATGGAGACGGTCCTGGGCGCGGCGTAGCGCTCGGCGAGGTCCACCATGCTCACCGGGAACAGGTGGATCTTCGTCTCCGCCATGCCGAGCTTGTCCTCGAACGCCCGCGCTGCTTCCTCGAACGCCTCCACCGGACCGCTCCATTCGTACCGGCCATGGTGATTGTCAGTGGTGCTCTCCACCATGACCAGCTGGTGCTGGTGCTGCCGTCCGCTGGAGCTGACGGCCAGATCACCGTGGCTAGCAGCAGGAGCAGCGACTGTCATCTCCAGAGGGAGGCCAGGAACCCATGCAGTAGCTGCTGGCTCCATGGCCGCCGGACCCCCATTCCAGTAATCGGCCACGGCCAGCTGATACTCCCAAGGTACTTGCTGCATGTCAACAACCAAAGAGAACTACTGGAATCTACGTAACAAATACAAAATGGCCGAACTACCAGAGAATGAAGAGAGAAGAACAAGAGTTGAGAAGCAAAAGACTGCATCAGTTAACAAATACAAAATGGCCGAACTACCAGAGAATGAAGAGAGAAGAACAAGGTCTATTCGTCCTCTTTATAGACCAACCACAAGGTCTATTCATCGTAATAATATGCGGATTGCATAATGTACAGAGGAAACCTTTCGACTTTTTCGACGTGCAATGCAACACAACCTGGAGGAACCTTTTCAACTTTGGATCCATGATTAACATAGTATTAGGCTTTTATAATGTCATGATGATGTGCACGCCTTAACGAATCTGCAGGCTGAGTGTGCAGTAGGAAAGACAGGAGGTGCTGAAAACGAGCTTCAATTCACAAGTCAATTACACAGACCAATATATCTGACAAGTCTCAACTTCCACTTGTTCGCAAAAAGAAAAGAAACTTTTCCTTGTTGAAATGCATGCATGACCATACCCATTTACATCATGTTATTGAGGATGGCCGCACCAAAACTACAATGGCCTATGCACAGATTTCTAAGAATATGATCTTGTGATCATCGAGAACTCCAACGATACACGCTCTCTTGGTAACAGATGACCTGGCATAGGAATTATTACCCCAGCAGAATGGTACCGTCGTTTAGACGGAAGAGACATGCCGATGAACTAAACCAGCTTGTTCAAAAGAAGAAATACGGCAGCCTATGACAGGTTCACGATTGGTTGCGGTTAAGCATATTCTGGAAAGAAATGTATAAGTCTTTGTGCTCTGTTCCAAAAATCTCCTCTGCTTTTGACAAGGTGTCCTGTAGAAATTGATCAAGTAGAAATCATCACATTACATGTTTTTTGTGGATATACTAATGAACTGAGAGGTTATAAATACTGGTGAACCGTGCTACCTCTCGCGATTGTTTCTGTGCATTAAATTCCTTAATATTTGCCAAGAATGCTCCAAATTGCTCATAAGATAGTCGTGTCCTGGTATTTGTACCCACAAGTGTTATAGTATGAACAAACTAAAGAGAGTAGACAGCATAGTGACCAACCGTGCTTGTCGGAAGAATTCCTTTCCATCTATACGAGGTCGCCCTGGAAATATAAAAGAACAAACATGTTAAGGAACTATCCTAAATGAATATAGCAGACCCCCATTGATAATCCACTGTGTAAGACCTGTAAATGAGCGGCGTTGAGGAGAGACAGGGGCTGAATACTGATGACTTGATCCATTCCATGATGAAAATGCCGATTGGTCTTCAGAACGTGATCTTGTAGGCGATGTTGGACCAGAATAGAACTTCGGAGTGGATGGACCAGTTGAATATGCTAGTGGGGAACCACTAGAGGATGAAATAATTGGTGTTGAACCAGGAGTTATTTGGGGGGCTACATATGGTGTGATTGAGAACTGGTATCCTGTAAATACTTCCATAGTAAGCAACTGACAGTCGGAAAAAAAATGTAATATTTGTTATGATTTAGTTGTTCAACAGTAAGAGTTAACTAATGACACCTTGGGCTGATTCGGTGATTGTAGATCTGCTGGAAGTATTTGAAGAGGTGTGACTGCTTGAAACTTCATCTGTCCATTCAAATATTCAATATGAAATCAAGGGAAAGACACAAACTTTGTCTAAACAGAAGTTTTCGAACTTTTGAGGTTGAGCAGCACCTTTCCAGGAAGGACTCCGAGCGGTCCCACTATTTTCTGCATCTACATCACGATCTTCACCTGTTTCTGACAATTGCTGTGAAGTTTTGCAGGTAACATTACTTGTCACCAATCAAGACCAGCACAACCGAAACTAGAAATATCTGAGTAAGTGGGAAAGACCATATTGATTGATAATACTCACCAGTAAATTATCTTCACTCAGAGATTTCATCAACTGCTTCTTAAATGCCTCTAACTGCGAAGAACAAAAGTTCTTCAGTAATTCGTCAACTAGCAAGCAAAAAAAAATCATGTTGATGTTGATTTGGATAATTAGAGTTATGATCAAGTTAACGGTAATTAGCATTCCCTTGTAAGCTCATACCAAGCATTGAGATGAATGGAGACAATAGTTACAGATTTGTGTAACCGACAGTAAAGCATTCATCAGTCACGGATCTTGTTTTCTTTCTTTCAAACCAATCACCACAAATCTGGTTTAGTATCTCGGTCTTCTAAATTTCTTTGTTTCAAAATTAGCTACCCATCACAGGGTTCACTATGAGCACAACGAAGTCAAGTTAGTCTGCCAGCCACATCACCTTATCGCTTAATGGCCTGTTTTTAGTTGAAGCCCCAATACAAGTAAAACTGTACCGAATCGTTTGCAACACTGAAATTGACAAAACTAACAGGACTTGCAATCAGGATTTCGTAGTCCAGCCTAAGCTGATTGAAGCTGTGAAATTTCCATTATGCAACCTTGATAATAAGTCAAACAAAAGCTTTAACTTCCATCAGAGTGACACTAAAACTTACAGAAATTTGTGAAAGTGCAGTCAGCAGTGGAAAGACAAATTCCATCCAATTTCATGAAATGCTGAGTGTTCAGACTCCACCTTCGCCAATGGCCAACAATCATGGGCATTGGAAGCCACATCAAACCATAAACAGGCAAATTAAACTAACATGACACGTCTTTAGTCTAGGTTTGTACTAAATAGACACTACAAGTCTAAAATCCACGCTTCTAATCAAAATTAACAGGTTCCTCAAACAAATACACTCTAAGAATGAAAAATCCTAGTGAGAAATCAGAGAAATCCCACCAAGATCGGAGCTAAAAGATATATACAAAAAATGGGAAATCGCACCTTTGCCAAGTTCCTCGACAGCTTCTTGGCCGTCAGGGCGAGCGTGTCCCTCTCCTTCACCAGCTTCGCCTGCAATCAAGCACGACAGGCTAAGCACAAATCTGAATTTCACGGGGGACAAACGTGTCCGGCGACAGGAGCGCACGTTCTCGTCGAGCGCGGCGAGGAGGCGGGCGTCGGAGTCGGCGAGGCGGGCGCGGAGGTCGGCCTCGCCGCGGTCGCGGTCGGCGAGGTCCCTGCGGAGGCGCGCGACGTCGGCCTCGAGGCGGGAGACGCGGGACGCGATGGCCATGGAGGTGATCTTGCGCGCGACGTCCAGCTGCTCGTACGGGTCGGTGGGGATCACGGCCAGGATCTCGTCAGGCAGGTGGAAGTCCACCCCCGTGGCCGCCCCCGCCACCTCCTGCCTCGCCATCGCTGCCTCCGCCGCCGCCGGGTGCGGACGGGCAACGCCGGCGCTCCTGGGGGAGGTGGCGGCTGCGGCGGTCGTCGCCGGCGCCGGGGAGGGGCAGGACTGGAAATTTTCTAACGATGCGTTCTTTCCTTCCAATTTTTTTAGTAGGAGTATATTTGTCTTTGGGATGTGATGTGGATTGGCAGCTGTATACTGTTGGAGCTCCAACTCATTTTTCCATGCCGCGCACGGTTTCCATGTTTGCTTTGTCTTGGCTTCCTTTTCTTTTGTCCATTTTTCTTCCTAAAATTTTGTATTCACGCTACTTTCTAAAAAGGTTTAATGAACTTTTCTTTGTTGTCTTTTTGGTCTTCTGCTAGTGGCATATACAGTCGCACCCACAAGATAAATAAGGGTTGGTAGGAAAAGGCTCATACGAAAATGATACGGTTATGTAAATTAATATGTGATTGAATGGTCAGAGCATTCACAGATCTGGAAAATCAGGCCAAATATACGGCCGCGGGTGCGCCTGCATCCTTTTCTTCGCCTGCATCCTTGTTGCATGCCCCGTTGCTGCCATAGTCGCCCTCGCCGTCTCGTAGTCCCTACACTCGTTGATCTTTTTCTTCTTCTTCTCAAGCCACTTCTTGGCATGCTTATCCAAGAGGCTTTCGTCCATCAATATAATATTCGCATCCTCCGCGTCCCGTGCGATTTGCAACCTCTCTTTCTCGAGCTCAATCTATCCAAATGTCTTGGCCTTCTTGAGCTCCCATTTGATTGCCGTCTCTTGCTTCTCCAACTGGATCTTCTCCCTCTCACTTTTCAGCTTCTTCTCCGTCCTCTCTCGATCCCCATCCTTCCACTTATTTTGTGTATTCAACATGAGCTTGTACCTCTCCTTCTTGTTCTCCCTCACCGCAAAAATGCATGTTCATATGGACGACATTTTTGTAGTCGCGGCGTCACGGGAGGCCCTTGCCTTCTCCCAATTGTTCCCCATGACTTGCTGGTTATCCTTTGGCACGGTGGCTCTTCCATTCTCCACGAAAATATATTCCTCTTGTTCGTCCAACCCATTTGATTGCTGGGAGCTTGAGCCATCATTCCTCTTCTTGTCGGCCTTGAGATCGCCCATAAGTTATGTCCATTTTGGTCGGCCATTCAATATGATTCAACAATAGCTAAACGCAAATGACTTCTTCTTTGTTTTGTGAAACATAGTGGCTGCCACCGCCGTCTAGCAAACGAAATATGTATGAGCATGAGAATGCAGAAAAAAAACAAGCATACGCAAATGATGACAAGATGAAGTAGCTTATGTGAGCTGTCACTCCCATCACATTTTGAGGGTGTTCGGTCACTTGTGAGTAGTAACCGACATACTTGTTCACTTTCCCTTGAATGCTACCCATCGATGTCGGAGAGATGCGACATTACGGTTCGTGACTATATGATGCGTGAAGGAAATATGCCCTAGAGGCAATAATAAAGTTAATATTTATTTCCTTATATCATGATAAATGTTTATTATTCATGCTAGAATTGTATTAACTGGAAACATAAACATGTGTGAATACATAGACAAACAGAGTGTCACTAGTATGCCTCTACTTGACTAGCTCGTTAATTAAAGATGGTTATGTTTTCTAACCATAGACATGAGTTGTCATTTGATTAACGGGATCACATCATTAGGAGAATGATGTGATTGACTTGACCCATTCGGTTAGCTTAGCACTTGATCGTTTAGTATGTTGCTATTGCTTTCTTCATGACTTATACATGTTCCTATGACTATGAGATTATGCAACTCCTGTTTACCGGAGGAACACTTTATGTGCTACCAAATGTCACAACGTAACTAGGTGATTATAAAGGTGTTCTACAGGTGTCTCCGAAGGTACTTGTTGGGTTGGCGTATTTCGAGATTAGGATTTGTCACTCCGATTGTCGGAGAGGTATCTCTGGGCCCACTCGGTAATACACATCACTATAAGCCTTGCAAGTATTGTAACTAATGAGTTAGTTGTAGAATGATGTATTACGGAACGAGTAAAGAGACTTGCCGGTAACGAGATTGAACTAGGTATTGAGATACCGACAATCGAATCTCGGGCAAGTAACATACCGATGACAAAGGGAACAACCTATGTTGTTATGCGGTTTGACCGATAAAGATCTTCATAGAATATGTAGGAGCCAATATGAGCATCCAGGTTCCGCTATTGGTTATTGACCGGAGACGTGTCTCGGTCATGTCTACATTGTTCTCGAACCTGTAGGGTCCGCACGCTTAAAGTTCAGTGACGATCGGTATTGTGAGTTTTAGTGTTTTGATGTACCGAAGGTACTTCGGAGTCCCAAATATGATCACGGACATAACGAGGAGTCTCGAAATGGTCGAGACGTAAAAATCGATATATTGGACGACTATGTTTGGACACCGGAAGGGTTCCAGGAGGTTTCGGGCATATACCGGAGTACCGGGGGGTTACCGGAACCCCCCGGGAGTTAATTGGGCCTCATGGGCCCTAGTGGGAGAAGAGGAGGGGTGGCCAGGGCAGCCGCGCGCCCCCTCCCCCTCTAGTCCGAATTGGACAAGGAGGGGGGCGCCCCTCTTTTCCTTCTCTTCCCCTCTCTCTTCCTTCCCTTCTCCTACTCCTACTTGGAAGGGAGGCCTACTCCCGGTGGGAGTAGGACTCCTTGCTACCTCTTGAACACTGTGTTGGATTTCCTTGAAGAGGAAAGGATGATGCGGCAAAGTAGCATAAGTATTTCCCTCAGTTTTTGAGAACCAAGATATCAATCCAGTATGAGGCTACGCGCGAGTCCCTCGTACCTGCACAAAGCAAATAACTCCTCGCAACCAACGCGATAAGGGGTTGTCAATCCCTTCACGGTCACTTACGAGAGTGAGATCTGATAGAGATGATAGATAATATTTTTTGTATTTTTAGGATAAAGATGCAAAGTAAAAAAAGCAAAGTAAAAAAGCAAAGGCAATAATAAAGTGATGGAAGATTAATATGATGAAGATAGACCCTGGGGCCATAGATTTCACTAGTGGCTTCTCTCAAGAGCATAAGTATTTTACGGTGGATGAACGAATTACTGTTGAGCAATTGACAGAATTGAGCATAGTTATGAGAATATCTAGGTATGATCATGTATATAGGCATCACGTCCGAGACAAGTAGACCGACTCCTGCCTGCATCTACTACTATTACTCCACTCATCGACCGCTATCCAGCATGCATCTAGAGTATTAAGTTAAAAACAGAGTAACGCCTTAAGCAAGATGACATGATGTAGAGGGATAAATTCATGCAATATGATAAAAACCTCATCTTGTTATCCTCGATGGCAATAATACAATACGTGTCTTGCTGCCCCTACTGTCACTGGGAAAGGACACCGCAAGATTGAACCCAAAGCTAAGCACTTCTCCCATTGCAAGAAAAACCAATCTAGTAGGCCAAACCAAACTGATAATTCGAAGAGACTTGCAAAGATAACCAATCATACATCAAAGAATTTAGAGAAGATTCAAATATTGTTCATAGATAATCTTGATCATAAACCACAATTCATCGGTCTCAACAAACACACCGCAAAAAGAAGATTACATCGAATAGATCTCCACGAGAGAGGGGGAGAACATTGTATTGAGATCCAAAAAGAGAGAAGAAGCCATCTAGCTACTAACTATGGACCCGAAGGTCTGAGGTAAACTACTCACACTTCATCGGAGGGGCTATGATGATGTAGAAGCCCTCCGTGGTGAATGCCCTCTCCGGCGGAGCTCCGGAACAGGCCCCAAGATGGGATCTCGTGGGTACAGAAGGTTGCGGCGGTGGAATTAGGTTTTTGGCTCCGTATCTGATCGTTTGGGGGTATGTAGGTATATATAGGAGGAAGAAGTATGTCGGTGGAGCTTCGGGGGCCCCATGAGGGTGGGGCGCGCTTAGGGGGGAGGGCGCGCCCCCCTACCTCGTGCCCACCTCGAAGCTTCCTTGGCGTAGGGTCCAAGTCTCCTGGGTCATATTCGGTGAGAAAATCACATTCCCGAAGGTTTCATTCCGTTTGGACTCCGTTTGATATTTCGTTTCTTCGAAACTCTGAAATAGGCAAAAAACAACAATTCTGGGTTGGGCCTTCGGTTAATAGGTTAGTCCTAAAAATAATATAAAAGTGGAAAATAAAGCCCAATATGGTCCAAAACAGTAGATAATATAGCATGGAGCAATCAAAAATTATAGATACGTTGGAGACGTATCACTCCTCAGGGGGCGCGCCTAGGGAGGCCGGCCTCCTCCCCCTCCTCCACTCCTTTATATATGGGGAGGGGGCACCCCTTGGAGACACAACAATTGATCATTGATCTCTTAGCCGTGTGCAGTGCCCCCCTCCACCGTAATCCACCTCGATAATATCGTAGCGGTGCTTAGGCGAAGCCCTGCGTCGGTAGCATCATCATCACCGTCATCACACCGTCGTGCTGACGAAACTCTCCGGCGAAGCTCTGCTGGATCGGAGCTCGCGGGACGTCATCGAGTTGAACGTGTGCTGAACTCGGAGGTGTCGTGCGTTCGGTACTTGGATCGGTCGGATCGTGAAGACGTACGACTACATCAACCACGTTGTGCTAATGCTTCTGCTTTCGGTCTACGAGGGTATGTGAACACACTCTCCCCTCTCGTTGCTATGCATCACCATGATCCTGTGTGTACGTAGGAAAATTTTGAAATTACTACGTTCCCCAATATTGGCATCCGAGCCAGGTTTTATGCGTAGATGTTATATGCACGAGTAGAACACAAGTGAGTTGTGGGAGATACAAGTCATACTGCTTACCAGCATGTCACACTTTCGTTCAGAGATATTGTTGGATGAAGCGGCCCGGACCGACATTACGCGTACGCTTACGCGAGACTGGTTTTACCGCCGTGCTTTGCACACAGGTGACTAGCGGGTGTCAGTTTCTCCAACTTTAGTTGAATCAAGTGTGGCTACG